TTCATTGTCGACTCACACTCACCACTTCATTCCCCGCCTCATGCAACAACAACAAAAAAGGGGGGGACGAGATTTTCTTTTCAGTGAATTATGTTTCATCATTCTGGGGTCGGATAATGATTTGCTATGCTTCTATAGAGCGAAACTGATTCCTTTTGTGTGTTCAATGTGAGGCTCTTCTCTTTCTTGAAAATATGGGGAACAAAAAGCTGCGGTTGATACTTGTAATTGACCCTTTGCCGACTGGCTTGCGGCAGTACCACACGTTCAGCTATAGGGAAAACAATGCAAATACCAAATTACAAGATGTAAAATCAAAACTTTTTATACCGCCCTTTTCTCCTGGCGCAAGACCTTTTCGAGAGATTTTTTTCTGTCATTGGTTCTTAACTTTGTTTTCCCTTGTCCAGAATACCTGCAATGGATCTAGAACTAGCAATTGCACACAAAAATTGTGTTAACATAGTTTTTTATAACTCAGTGAAACACTGTACTCTCAATCTGTCACTGCAACTTCTTGTTTAAGGCATGAGGCTTTATTTCTCAAAAGTTGTTAGTCACCCACAGCATAACCTAAATTCTTCAATAATCCCAAGTACCGTATTTACTTGAGTACCACGTGCCCTCAAGTAAGGCAGGCAGAGGGGTTCTTAGTTGGAAATTTTGCTAAAATCTTATCCCCAAGTAAGACGCGCACCCCAATTTTTAGTGAATCTGAAACCACAAAATGTTGCAAATAAAAAAAAAATTGACTTTAGGCATGAATTGAACAAAAATCCCATCAATTTTCAACTTCTGCAGTACAAAAATGTTTTCTTATTACATTTGCTCCAAATTTCTCCATTATAACCAAGTATAATGCACACATAACTTCCTGAAACTTCTTGAAAATTGTGTGCCCGCTTATGATGCTCACCCCTTTTTTTCTTCTGAAATTTGGGAAAAAAGGTGCGCGTGGTACTCGAGTAAATACAGTATATAGTGCTTCATTTCCCAAACATTTTTTCAGCCCTCTTTAAAGAGATTTAAAAATGGGACAAATTCTCCAAAACTTCATTATCAATCTATAAGGGTTGTTTTGGAGAATACCTCAGTCACTTTTTCAACCTCCACCAATTTTTTTAAATACAGTTGAACCTCTCTAAGTCAAATTTTAAGGGAAAAACCAATCAAAGTTGACTTAGGGAGGTTTTGAGTTATAGAGGTTTGAGCTACAATAAAACGCTCTTTTTTCTGGAAAACTTAGAAAAATTGTAAATGGTGATATTCTGGGGCTTAAATGGCTTCTTAAATTATTTGAAAGGATGCTGAACTTAGAGGCAGATCTGCCTCCAAGTTCAGCATCCTTTAAACCTTGACAAATGAACCTTGAGGTTTATTTGCCTGATTAAGTCTTTCACTTCCTTTAAAACACATACATTTTCTGGTTTTATTGCTGGTTTTTTGGGTCAAGAAAATAATGGCCAACAGGCCACAGAAAATTCAAATTATGGAGGTTTTATGGGAAAAGCCTTTGACTTAGGGAAGTTTGAGTCACTGAGGTTCACCTGTATCTTGATTGAAACTTTCAACATAGGAAAGTTTCAACATAGGGGAACTTTCAACATAGGAGAAATCACTTCTTTGATAAGCACAGTTTAAATGTCACAAAAGCATGGGAATGTATTCCAAAGATTAGCCTTTCTTTTGAGGCTGATTTTTTAAGTTTTCTAGGATTTGAATGTCTGAAAAATAAATGCTGTCCAAAATCTTTCCCTCCATCTTCCATGTTGGGTTCAAAAGCGTTTCTTCTGTTCTTCATCTCCAGGCTACTGGTAAAATGAAAGTAATGTTACTGATCAATGACAAGCATGTAACAAGACTTAGTCAATTGTGTCTGTTTGGTTTGGTGAGAGAAACTGAGACTATCCATTTTTTCAACTTATAGGATGTACATCTGCAAGAAACTCATTGAATCTCTGATATTCCACGTGTTCTCTCAGCTTTACAGTCTAAATCAATGTTCCCCAATGTGTGGTCCATGGACCAGTGCAGGTCCACAGAAGATTTTTAATGGTCTGTGGGAAATTTTATGAAGCATGATAAATTTATCAAAAGCAGCAATGAGGGACATTACAGTACAGTATGTTTATCTGAAAATTAATTTGCAACACAATGGCAGTGAAAATTCTCTCATGAAAAATGAGTGCTGGTTTTTCTCCTAATTCTCTAATTTCACAGATTGATATTGAATTTGTCCACTTCAGACAAATTTTCACCAGATGAAATGGATTATTTTGATTTTTCATTCTGAGCCCAAGTTTTTAATTTTTGAAGACAATTCCACTGTAACTGTTTCATTGGTTCTTAACTTAACTTTTTTGCAAACAAGCAAAAACCTTTTTCAATACCTAAAATAAATAATTTCAGGCAAAACTTTTTAGAGTGTGCAAAAATTTTATGAAACTTTGCCAGTCTGCAGAACATTTTTTGTTGTTGAAAATTTGCCTGTCCACAAACATTTTCATGGAAATTTGGAGGTCTGCAGGGGATGTCTGGGTGTATTTCAGTTATACAATTCAACACAACAACCAGCTGATGCCCATTGGAAATTTATTGAACGTTCGATGTAGCTAAGAATACTAAGATTACATGAAGTTCAGTATTACACTATTATGTCCTGTAATACATATTAACTTATACTAAAACCGGCCTAATGCGCGAGGTTGCCTACGAACCTCAACTTGCTGGACTGTAGATTTATTGAACACTTTATTGACTTTATCCTTTAATCTTCGGTGCCAGAAGACAGGGACTTGGAAATTTCTAGACATTTATACAATACAGTAAAGCAAAACTCAATTTTAGCCCCACGTGGAAGACGGGCTTGAAAGGGATAAAATCAGTTTTTATACAGAGGCATACACGCTAGCAACGCAATCTTACCTTCATACGCCTTTTCCCAATTTTTTTTTTATACTTCATGCATGAATGTATTAGATTTATTCCTTCCTACAACGGAAAAATACTTTCCGGTGACTTTTAAGAGAGATGTGGAGAATTTCAGGCGTATTTTTGTTGCCCAAGACATGTACAGTAATTAGATTTTTATACATGCATTAGCTTTTTATTTACCGCAGTTTTTTTGTAGATGAAGCCCAACAAAGTAATGAACATCACAAACGAGTCCCTTACGGTAATGAAATTGAAATATTTTTTTCCCGTTTAAAAATGTTATCCCGACTTCCTTTTACTTTATTCAAAACTTGCTGAACCATTCCAGTTCAGAGGTTAAACAACGTTTCGTGGCTCCATTTTATGAACGCCAGCCTCCCATCGGTCCGTTCCTGGCCGGTTGGATGTGGGCGTCAGGAAAGGATAATCTTGACGGGGTTCCTAACGGGTCTATGATGGGTTGGCTTTTCCGGTTCTCTCCTGGGGTTTTTCCAGACAACTGCTTTAGGGATCATGGCCATTCCATTAGAAGTGGTTTGAGTGTGTTCATATCATGATTTAATGGAAGTGATTTGACAGCCTAGCAATCTAACATAAAATACTGAAATCGACGGTTCCCTTTTTTAATTGAGGATTTTTTCGCATTATTACACAATTGGTATTGATCCACACCTGAACTAAAGAAGAGAAAAGCCAGGAAAATCGCTTAAATAAGGGAATATATTTCTTAAAGAGCATCCAGATGAACACATAACATTGACTGATTGGTTCTTTGTTGTACAGCACAGTGAGACCCCAAGATGCGGACATAATTGGTGCACCAAGAATGTTGTGTGAATCCCCCTAAGCTGAGTCTCATTTTCTCTTAGACTTCAATACTAACGAATTTAATTAGTTCTCCTTTTTGTCAAAAATTAAAAATAAGTTTTCAAAAATTGTAATGAAAATTTTTCCCTCAACCTCAACTTGTAGAAAAAAACAGTACAGAACAACCACATAGAATCTGATCTTTTGATTTGATACCAAACAATCAAATAATAAGACTAAGTCTTGCTAGAATATCCGCAGATGGTAGAAAAAAAACTCTGAAAAAAGAAGCGCAAAATCAGCTTGCTTTTGATTATTAATTAGATTGAATTTACTTGAAATATTTTTTCAATGTTTTTGAATATAAATAGTGCTTGGTTTCTTTGAAAAAAATTTTCAACAAATGTTTTTATTTTTTAGAAAAATTTCAGAGAAGTGTTTTTAACTCAAGTCAATGTCTGGATGTTGGGCCTAATTTTTTTTGGTTTTCAAGTGTCAAGTCAAATTTTCCATATATCAGGGTGTCTGCATATTGGTGTCTCACTGTAGTTGAAACATGTTTTGCTTGCTTGTCAACAGTGAGTTCAGCTCTAATCTCTGAAGTTTGCTTACCTTAGTCTTTCCAGCATCTTGAAAAAAAAACTGGCCATTCAGTATTTCAATATAATATTTATTTTATAATATTTGGCAAACAAGTTCTCCAAACTTGTCAGCCAGAGCAACATTTAGGAGGACATGTTCTCCAAAAGATGTCTGTAGAACTCATTTAGAGGAGTTTTGGACACCTTTTGTAGAAGTTTGTACTCACTGGGTTGAGGATGCAACAATATTTTTTTTTTAGTTTTCTGCCATTTATCAAATACTGTAATTCCTATGGCATATGCACAGAATTATGGGAAAAATTCTTTATAATGACATTACAGCCTAAAATTAATTTTTTGAAACAAGATTTCTATAAAATCAAGTGAGAAACTGCCAGGACCAAGAAAAAATTTGTTCTAACAAAAAATTAATCAAAACAAGATTTGTTGTAACAGAACTCTACTGCACTACACTTTCACTGAATAGAGCAGGATGCAGGGATAGCTATAGCTGCATTTCATGTGAAACGTTGGGGTTGGAGCCAGGAGGAAGCAGGGGGAGATACGCCTGTCTCCGGCTTCCCCTCCAGTAAAAATCCCCTATATGTACTCCCGGGCTGGATACTCAGAGCTCCGCTTCGAATCAATCCACCCGCCAACGTTTCCCGGCTCCTTTTTATGAACGCCAGCGTCGTATCGGCCCGCTCCCGGCCGCACTGGTGGACAGCCATGTCGGGTAACCCGCACAGGACCCGTATCTGGGATACGGTTGGTTCTGATGCTACTTACTGCGGTTGAGTCGTTTACCAACAGGCGATAGCTTTTTTTTTCTTTCTGCGACATGGGATTCTAGCGCTCCGCGTAACCCAGGATCCCGAGCCGATGCAGTAATCCTTATTGGAATTGTCCGGAGAAAAAAACACATCTTGTGTAAAATGCAGGGCAAATGGATTCTGAGCAAATCCAACTCGCGCCTTTTTTGAGACATTTTGAATGGCAGATATTGTATACAGTGAGACCCCAAGATGCGGACATAATTGGTTCATCAAGAGTGTCCCTAAGTTGAAATGTCCCCAAGTTGAGTCTCACTTTCCCTTAGACTTACATTAAATAATTTTTAATTGGTGTTTCATGTACAAAATATTCACCCTAATTCCATGAAAATAAGAATTGTCTCCCAATTCAAACTGATTCAATCAATATATTTCAACACAATATGAACATTACTGATATCTCATCTGTACAGTACATATATGTGTTGGCATTTTCTGTAAAAATAAAATGCAAGTGAAAAAGAGAGAAAGAAGTCACTCTATGCTGGAGTTAATTTTTTTTAAATTAGCTAAATGGATGGTAATTGGCAAGAGAAATGCCCAAGAACTTTTCTTACATCAATTTTAGGGTTGGAAATATATGATTCCTGTAATTTAGCCTGAAATGTATTTAAAATGCAATTTTATAAAAAAATGTCCCTATGTTGAGTCAATGTCCTCATGTCAGGACTTTTTAATGATTTTTTATGGTAAAATAAGTGTCCCTAGATCAAATCATCCACAGGGCAAGGCGTCTGCATGTGGGCATCTCACTGTAGTTCCATTTTGTGCGAGAAGCGATCATTTTGCAAGAGTGAACAAATATTTATGCATCCCCGCTTTTTATTTCACCAGCAGTGTCAGTCAGTGAGGAAAAATTACTGCCACGATAAAAATCATTCAAAATGAGATTTTTTTAAAATTTTTATTTTAGAAACGAATGCGGTCGACGAAGAATATGTGGACGTGGGAACGTCGGATGAACGAAAAAAGCGACCGAGAACAGCGTTCACTTCGACTCAAATCAAAGCCCTGGAAGCAGAGTTCGAGAAGAACAAGTACTTGTCAGTGTCGAAGCGTCTCCAGTTATCCAAGAGTCTTAAACTCACAGAAACGCAGGTGAAATGCGAATTTTGAAATGTTTCATTGCTGCAGTTTCTCCCGATTTAAACTTGCTTTTAAAACAAATAAATTATGACCTAGCATAATTAATGAGTACTTCTGATTAAATGAAAAGAAATCCTCTGATATACACAGTACAGTGAGACCCACAGATGTGGACATAATTGGTGCATCAAGAGTGTCCCTAAGTTGAATTGTACCCAAGTCAAGTCTTGTTTTCCCGTAGATTTTCATTATATAACTTTTAATTGGTGTTGTATGGAAGAAGTATTCTTCTGAATTCCATGAAAAAAAATGTTTGCCACTTGAATTTGATTCAGCAAATATATTTTCAACTCAATAAGAAAATTTGGAGCATTGAATAGTGAATCTCTGTACGGTACATTGAAATGTTGGCATCAATAAAAATAACATTCAAGTCACAAAGAGAGAAGGAAGTCCCTCTATGCAATAGGTAATTTTTTAATTAGCTGAATGGATGGGAAAATGATGGGAGAAATGACAAAGAATTTGTCTTGCATAAATCTTAAGGCTGGAAATCTATCATATTTACTTGAGTACCATGCGCACCTTTTTCCCCAAATTTCAGAAGAAAAAAATGGGTGTGCATCATAAGCGGGTACAAAATTTTCAAGAAGTTTTAGGAAGTTATGTGTGCATTATACTTACTTATAATAGAGAAATTTTGAACAAATATGACAAGAAAACATTTTTGTATAGAAAAAGTTGAAAATTGATCAGATTTTTGTTAAATTCACGCCTAAAGTTAAATTTTTTGCTTTTATTTTTGAAATTGTATGGTTTTAGATTCACTAAAAATTAAGGCGCGCATCTTACTTGGGGATAAGATTTTTGCGAAATTTTTAACTGAAAAACCCCTGTGCGCGCCTTACTCAAGGGGTGCATGGTACTCAAGTACATACTGTATGGTATGTTTCTTGCAATCAAGCCAAATAAAAGTCAATTTTTGTGAAATGTTATTGAAAATTTTATTATGTAATGTCCTCATGTCAAGTCAGTGTCCATATTTTGAGCCCTTTTTATGCCTTTTTTATTGAAAAATTAATGACCCTATGTTGCATTGTCCTCATGTCAAGGTGTCCGCATGTGGATGAGGTCTCACTGTACTCTCTTTTAATGTTCTAAATGAACTAACATTTGTACTGTTTTATTTTATTTTATTTTTCTACCCGGCAAAGATCAAGATATGGTTCCAGAATCGAAGGACCAAGTGGAAGAGGAAGTACACCAACGACTTGGAAGTCCTGGCTCAGCAGTACTACGCGTCCATGGGAATCATCACTCCTAGGCCCATGTGCCTCGGGGACAGGCTTTGGTGAGTGATTTTTCTTCTTTTTCAAATGTGCCAAGAATAGACGAGTATCTTGGCACAATCATATTTTCAGATAACAAGCAGAACAATCTTGAAAGGAATCCAAAACCAGCATTATAATGTTACGCGTCTCTATCCTGTCAAAATTCATGACACCGTTACGTTCATTAAAAAATTTATTCAAAATTTTTGAAGACTAAAGTCCAACGATTTTGAGGTTATATTACTTCGTATTTCAGCAGTAAGTTCACCTTAATGCCATCCTACGTCATAACTCATTTCCAGCGATGATGGGAAATCGCAGACAGAAGAACATAAAATGCCATTTGAAAAAATTTTATAATGTCACGAGCTGTAATTGAATTCAAAAAAAAAATTACATCTGAACTGTTCCACCGGAATTCTCCCCCGATGATTTGATTTTTGGTGTACGTGTGCTAACTTCTGAAGGTGTAGTTCGATGATTGTCTTCTCTTCTTTTTTTTTTCGTCTTTCATCGGTACAGGTTTTTCAATGTTCCCGGGCAGAGTCCTTTCACAGTTCCAACGCCTGCAACAGCCGCTTCAGCGTTACCAACCGGCATGTCTTTCCCTACCACTTTGACCCGGGTCGGTCAACCCGGGTCTCCCTTTGGTTCTGGCCCAGTACAGAACCCAACAGCCCCGTTCCTGGGGGCACCACTCAGTGTGCCTGCACATGTGTTCATGCCATTTTCTGCCAACCAGGCACTAGGTAAGCTTCCTGTGATTTACTATACAGTAAAATCTTGTTACAATGAACTCCTGCTGGCCAGGACCTGAGAAAAAAAGTGTTTTAACAAAAAATTCATTTTATTGAGATTAATGATTTTTAGCACATTTCAGACTGCAACTTTATTGGAAATGGGTGTAGAACACATACTTTAAAATGCATTTAAAACAGATAATTTAGGACCTAGCATAATTAATGAGTACTTCTGATGAAATGAAAAGAACCCATTGGATATACACAGTACAGTACTCTCCTGTAAACAAATAAACATTTGTACCAAAGTATTGCTTGTCTTGAAAAAATAAAATGAAACAAAATTACATATGGCAGAACTACTGCACTTCTGTCTCAATCAACTTAATCATTCATAGCTCTTTCAAACATAATGAAACATTCTTCTTACATACGTACTGTTTATTTGAAAAAGGCATACATTCTAACATGGATAAGCTACAGAATTTCAAAACATATGGCCCGTTGAGTATTTTTTGGGACACCAAGTTTTCTATGCATGACGTTTTTTCAATGAAGTTGTAATGCTACATCTTTTATTTTTTTCCATGTTCTCTGCCATTTATTAAGAAAACATTAATTAAGAAAAAAATAAGGCGTAACAGTCTAACAGAAGAAGCTGGGCATAACAGTTATGCATAACAAATGCGTTAATAATGCATAGCAGTTACACCCAGCCCTTCCCATAACAAATTATTTGCTGGGTATTATGGGCTATGCACAGAATCATGCCCAAAAATTTGTTATAAATAGATTACAGACTAAAATTACTTTGTTATAATAAGATTTTTATAACATTACGCTTTTGGGAAACAGCTGGGACCAAGAAAAAAAGTTGTTATGAGGAAAAATTCGTTATAACAAAATTCATTGTAACGGAATTTTAGTATTTTCAGAGAGAGAGAGAAAAAACTTTTTGTTTACCTTGCCTTGACCTTGGCTTTCAAAAGCACTGTACAATTTAGCACGGTATGTACTGTATGACCGTCTTGAGAAATTTAAATCCAGAAATTCAAACGCAGGTTTCAACTGCAAAGTTCGAATGCGCAGTTGAAAAAAAAAAACTTGTATGCTGTGTGGTTTCTCCATTTCTTAAATTAAATTCGAACATGGATTGTTCGTTGTTTTTTCTTATTCTTTCCGTGTTTTGAAGAATTCCCGATGATGGACAGAAACGAGTCGTCGTCGGCTCACTTGGAGGTCACCGCGGATTCATCATCAAGTTTCTTGCCAGAAAGTGGACCAGCATCTCGGGATTCACCATCTCCAAAAAGTCAAGAATCCAATTGTGACGATATGTTCGAGGAAACTCAGGCCAAGGATTTGAAGTCGACTTCGGAAGCTCACGTCACTGAACTTTGATTAGAATTTATTTGGCATTTGATTGTCAGAAGAAGGCGCCGAGATAGAAATCCGATTAAGATTTAGACGTGGCCATCAAATTTTCTCAGAGGCTCGCGGCAATGAACTCTGATAATGTATCAATTTAATTCATTAGAAAAGAAAAGGAGAAAATTCCGCCCGGATTGAAAAAAAAAAAAAAACGCCGGAGTGGAATAGAGTGTCCGGAGACAAAATATGCCATCGAGAAAATGTCTCGATGAGAGAAGGCGTACTGAAAAAAATATATAAAATAAAATAAAGTTTTTAGCCACCTCAGATTTTGCCGCTGAGTAAATTCAAGGCAATAGTTTCATCACATTTTCTGTCTTGTTGCGTTCATTATACAGTACTTATCGAAATACTTTACCCCCTTTCTTTTTCTAAATTTTTTCCATGTATTTGTTACTTGAGGAAATCTTTATACAGCCTGGTCCTTTTTTGGCATAAATTAGTTTTGCCTCTTCAAAGCTTCCTCCCATGCATAATTTTCTGAAATTTTGATCGCTCCGGGTTTACTTTATTCTCATGGTGTCATTTATTTGTCTCAGCATCTGTTTATATCTATTTATCTTTTTCTCCGTGGCATATTATCTGTGGCAGCTTATTTCTCCCTGGATTTTACTTCCCCCGGCGCATTCAATCATGAAGAGACAAGTAGTTGCTAATTTTTGAAAATACTGCAAAAGAAACAAGGGAAGAAAACTTATGGAATGGAATACTGTATCGCCAACCGGCACGAATGTTTTTTTTTTAATTCACTTATAAGAATCAATCGTTATCGATCAGTACGATCACTTTTCACTTGCACGATATTGAAACGTTTCGCGTGACTGCCATATATGGTCTACTTTTTATTTCCTGAACCTCGCAAGAGTCGTCGCTATACACCCAATTCTTGTCCCGATGAACTTTTGATTTAAATTAAACGATTCAATAAAAGGAAATATTTTCTCGATTTTGATTAAATGAAATTCTAATGTTGTTTCTTGATAATTGAGTTACCCGTCCAAGTAGCAGGCCTTCGTTATGGTACACACTAATTGCTCAAATCCACTTAGGTTCGTTTTATAGGGTCTTCCGGCATTGTTCAAAGGTCTTTGCTTTGTAGTTGAATGTCACGTTCGACACAAGCACACATTTTCTTCTCGAAGAAGTGAAAAGTTTGCGTTTTTTTTATCAATTGTGAATTTTCATTGCTAGATCTTTACAGGAACAGGTTCTGCATTGCGTTGCAATTTTACCTTGTCCTTCCTTTTTTGATAGAATGGAGAATAAATTAGGTCTTGAGAAATCCTTATAGCCATACAATCATTAATACTGGGAACTAATTTTATCAAGCTATCTTTCAATTATGTTTTTATTGACTCAATAGGTAATAATACAGTTGAACATCTCAAAGTCAAATTTCAAGGGACCAGCAAACAAATTTGACTTAAGGGGATTTCCATTTCATGAGGTTTCACATCCCAGCAAATAATTTGGCATTTTGAAATGCGTTTTAAACGCGTTTCTAGCCAAAAATGCTACGCATTTTGTACTGTTGCCCTAACATTAGGGCAACAAACCCTTTTATTGTGGGAAACATTAAATAATTGCAGGAAATTGTAAACGGTGATATTCTGGGACTTGAATTTCTTCTAAAAGGAGTTTACAGCATGGTGACTTTGGAGGCAGGGGTTCATATGTCCAATTAGTCTGTCAATTTCTTTCAAAACACATAAAGTGACTTATTTTATTGCTTTTCTCTTTCATTTGTCAAAAAATAAGCCAAAAGGCCTCAGAAAATTTGACGTATGGAGCTTTGTAGGAAAAACCTTTGAGCCAGGGTGGTTTTAAATAAATTATTTCTATGGGAATTTATATTGGGACTTGAAAAAAAATTGACTTTGGGAGGTAATCCACTTAGGGTCGTTTGACTTATGGAGGTTCAACTGTAAAATCCTTTGTTTTGACAGAACAAAATCAAGAATTAAAACACGGTGATGAACACACATCATCAAAGGGATAGAAAATTAAATTTTTCCACAACTCATGGCAACAGAATGACTGGACTAGAACCAGTCAAAAGTTTCAACACATTGAGTGAATTTCTTTTGTATTGGAGACTCATTGACATTTTCACGCACTGAAGATATTTGCAACGTATTAAATTCATGTCAAAACTTACCGTTGTGTAGCCAAGAAGAAACGAAACATTATACATGTACATGCATGTCTGTATGGCGAACACAAATCATTAAAAAGCTAGAAAATAAATATGTTCGCAACTCAAGGCAACAGAATAACTGGACCGTAACCAGTCGGACGTTTCAATACATAGAGTGGATTTCTTTTGTATTGGAGAATCAGTGACGCTTATTACATTTTGACGCACTGATGCCAGATATTTGCAACGCATTAAATTCGTGTGAAAACTTACAGTTGTGTAGCCAAGAAGAAACGAAACAGTACATACGGTACATGTCTGTCTGACTCAGGCTCCGCTCGGGTGAAACTGTATTTATTCCCTTATTCCCTACGCCCGCCGCGCTATGCTCCGAGCTCCGCTCCACGTCGTATCGACCGCGAACGTTTACTAGTTCCATTTTATGAACGCCAGCCTCGTATCGGCTCGCTCCCGGCCGCACTGGTGGACAGCCATGTCGGGTGCGCGCATCTGGATACGCGTAGGATACGCATACGAATCACGCTTCACGAAACGGGCTTAGATACGGACGGGTCTGTTTCCGATATTCAAGATTCAACCCACGAACGCAGGATTCCAACGCCTGCTGTTGTGCTATGGCAGTCAGCGTTCATCGGAATTGTCTGGAGCTATATGTGAGGATGATAAGGATTTTGACGAATTCCCTTGACCTTTTTGAGATACAGTACTTCAATTGGCAGATGCGTATATCGTACTGTAAGTTCAATTTTGTAAGTCTCTCGTACATTCTCGCTCGTTTTTCTGTATGAGTAAATCAGCTTGCATTATCTATGCGAGCTTTTGATTCCTGAAAATCCTTTTTTATGTGTCAGACATTTCCGAGCTAAAGCCTGGTCACTGATTCGTTAATACAGTACTGAACGTGTTTTATGGGCGGGCAAAAAAGTACAGGAGGGCTATAAATAAGCCAGTCTCCGGGCTGGTAAAGTCAGCCGTAACGCGAAACGGCTGCTGTAACGCCTGGGAACAGGAGAGAACCGGGAACCAGGCGTAATCCGAGCCAAGCGTTCATAAAATTAAGCCGCGTAACGTTCGAGTCCCATATCAGACGGATGGATGGTGGAAACTTGTTACGACGAATCGAAGGGAAAAACGCCTAGATTTTCAAAAGTTGCGCAGGGTGCTCGTCTATACGTCTTCGTGTCGTTGTCTGCGAACTAGGGCCATAAGTTATATCAGCTGTCTGTGATTACATTCAGTAATTTCAGAGGAAAACAATTTTATCGTTCGTGCGTTGAGTTCGACTTTTGCAACTAACCTATCACGGATCAGTTACGGAATCCTGCGTGAGCTGAAATTCACAGCGGGTGTGTGTGTACGACCATCGTGAAGAATTTAAATACAAAGTAAATAATGCCGAAACATCCTGTCCATGTTCTATAATCTAGAACACATGCATATTTTAGATTAGAAATATTCTGTAGTTGCGAAAATGGAGGGATTTCCTTCTAATGCTTTTTGCAAGCGATCAAAAACTTGTTTGAGCGCTTACAAAATGAAAATAAGAAGCTAACAAGCCATTTTATTCTGATGGTTGTTCATCTAGAAAACAAATATTTGCTCTTTATTGAAATTTCGATGGATATTTCAAGCTCGCATTTTTCTATATTTTCCACTCGAAAAAAGTATGCGTCTGTATGAATTCTGATCTGTTAATCTGTGATAAACAATATCAGATTTGCCGAGCTTCATTGGTTTTCGTCAACATATAATATAAATCAGGAACATTAATAATCCAGTTTCAAGTTTGAATCGCGCTACGATCGAGAGAAAGTGGTTTGGAAAAGACCAGTGTGGGATGGGAGACCCAGTGAAGTGAACTTCTTGACGCCCACATCCCCCAGTGCGGCCAGGAATGGGCCGATAGGAGGCTGGCGTTCATAAAATGAAACCAGAAGACAAGTTCACCTCAGTGCCGGAATGATCTGCAGGTTTCGAGTAAGATACAGAAAAATGCCGAGTTAGCGAATCAATCGATCAAAGGACAATACTGTATTGCAGTTCAGGTTAAGCTTACTCCGTACAGTATATAACCGCTTCGTTCACTTCCGTGTAACTTTTCGGACCATATAAAATGTTCAGAGTTTTACAGCATCACGTATTTCAGTCTTTCGAAAGAATGCTACCGCACTTCCGATTAACAGGATAATGAAGGCAAGTTGAGAAAGGACCCAACTCAACAGGCTGAACAAACATCGCAGCGATTCAAAGAACGGAATGAAAACGTGGATCCATGAGCAGCAGTCGGAACAAAGTTCCAATGCAAGACCTTGTACTGTATATCAATGTGTTGGAAGCACACGAAAATTACTAGCAATTTCCATGACTTGGGTCAGATTCCCTCACTTCCTTTGAACCACGAGAGGAAGCGAACTACTGTACAGTACTGGCCTGTCTCACACTCCACTCCGGTAAAAAATGTCCCTACGCCCGGTTCCATCCCGGCCTGAGCTGCGTGGGCTTAGAATCAATCCACCCCGCCAACGTTTCCCGGCTCGGTTTTATGAACGCCAGCCTCGTATCGGCTCGTTCCCGGCCGCACTGGTGGACAGCCATGTCGGGTACGCGTATCCCACGCGTAGGATACGCGTATCTGGCTACGGGTAAAATACGCGTAGGATACGCGTTTTTCACCGCGCGTTCGTGTAGGGAGATACGCGTATCCTACCCGTAGGATACGCGTATCTGGTTACGGGTAAGATACGCGTATCTCGCTACACGTAGGATAAGTATAGAAGATGCATATTCGAACGCCAGTACGTGGGAGTGTTCA